ATCTGTGAGATGTGTATTACAGACCAGCATGAAATCCCTCAATATTCTGATCTAGTTTCATCAGCAGTTTCTGGTAACTGCTCATGCTGCAGAACATATACAAAACAGGAATGAGCCCAACTCTTTCCTATGGAAGTCTGTTCCAAACTGACCTCCTCCCTGTGGTAAGCTCTCTCACACCCAGCAAACAACAGCCCCTGCTCAAATATCTCAAGACTGGGGCCCCTTCACTGAGGAACACAGCACAGCAGAGGAAGAGTCAGGTGCCAGATTTAGATTTCCATGTAGGAATCTGTCACATGCACAGAGATGAGGAGCCAGCTAGACTAATGAGGTGTTGAAGTTTGTGTTTGGATCCTTCATACAGCAGAGAAATTAAATGCTCAGGGTTTTTCAGAGCCGTTCAGGAGCTACTTGCTCATCATATGACTGTCACAGAGGTTTTGCAATACATCATACAGCACTAATGATCATCAAACTATTCAGCCATGGAAAATTGCTTTAATGTTACCTCAAAGCATTAATGAATGACCTGTTAATTAATTCAAATTATTGACCATTGGCCTTGCTTTCCTGCTAGGCTAGAATGCCAAATCCAAGCAGGATAGTGGTGTTTAAGCCATCATGAGGACCCCAGTACCTGTGGACTAGCAGCAGCCAGCACTTACTTGCTGCAATGATGCTGAGCAAGGGAGAAGGCATGAGGCTGCTTTAAGCTGGAAAGGTTTTTGTGGTAAGAGAGGTCCTTTTACAGATCCAAACCATCATTTATCTCACCCAGAGGAGACCTTCAGCCTTGCAGCTGCTTTGAACTGACCCTTTGCAGTCCCAGGAATAAAAGCAGGTTTGCAGACACTCACTAGCCATGTTGATTCTGCAGGGTGGTGCCTTGGGACAGGCAGAGAACCACTTTCTGATGCATAGCCATCCTGATTTTTAATTTTCCAGAGCAGTCAGTAATGTCTGGAAAGCTTTTACATCCTTTCTTCTGCAAAAGTACTAGACTATTGATTTAATGATAAAACAAACAAAATAAAAATCTATTTGGACTGATTGAAGAGGCTACTAATGTAGTAAATCACTTGATACAGGAATAAGTGTTAATCACTTGGCTGACCAGTAAGCCAGGTATACCCATCAAGCAATGGTTGGAAACTACATGTGCAGCAATCCAACTGCAAACAACAGCTGAGGGATGATGACAGACAGGAAAGAGAAGTGGAGATGTTTTATATTCCATATTGAACCCAATGATCAATGCCTGGGAGCTGACACTAGGTGCATTCAGACTTAAAATAAGCAGCAGCTTCCCAGCTTGGTGGGAGTCTAAACACTGAAAGAGTAGGAAAATCCTTAAAATCAAGTCTTTCTGAATGGCAAGTTTTCATCTGCATCCATGGAGAAAATCCTTTGCAAGTGCAGGAACACGATTCTCACTGTATTGAACCCAATGATCAATGCCTGGGAGCTGACACTAGGTGCATTCAGACTTAAAATAAGCAGCAGCTTCCCAGCTTGGTGGGAGTCTAAACACTGAAAGAGTAGGAAAATCCTTAAAATCAAGTCTTTCTGAATGGCAAGTTTTCATCTGCATCCATGGAGAAAATCCTTTGCAAGTGCAGGAACACGATTCTCACTGCAACCCAGGAGAAGAGCTGCACATAGTGGATAGATGGAAAGAAATCAAGTGATACTAGAAACCCCCTGAGCAGGCCAGAAAGGGAGATAAAATGAATAGGGAGAGACTGAGGTCTCCTGACCTCAGACTTTCCCATCTCACACGCATTCTCTGGCACACTGGGATGCTCATGATGCAGTGCCTCCCATAAAAGCTTGATCTCACCACATTGGAGGAATAAAGTTCAATGCACCCAGCTCTGCCCTGCAGCAGTTTGGCTCCCTGGGGGAGATGAGACTCTAGAAATCACTGAAACTTCAAAAAATGGTGGATAATAACCTTAATCCACAGCCAGTAGGAACTACAGCACTGATTTTAATGGAAGTAGAATTAGATCAACTCCAGCTACTAGGGAAAACTTCCCCAAAGATTGTTATTATAATGAAAGCTCTATGGCACCAGCCACCAGCACATTGTTAACCACTGCCATGCAAGAGTTCTTTAAAAAGGCAAAAATCCTGCAAGGGAGGAAGCATTCTTTCCTCCCAGTATAGAGCTGTAAACAAGGATGTGAGAGTTGAAATGGCTCACCCTTGATCTCCCCGAGCATCACAGCACACACTCTCAACTCCATCCCCTGCCCCAGGGACAGCCCTTCACACTGTGCTCAGAGCCAGGCTGGGAAAATGCAAGGCACGTTATTAAAAACAGAAGAATAACTCCTACCCAATAACAACTCCCATCCTTTTTCTAAATGTCTGGAGGCGCAGGTGTGACACTGAAGCAATATAGATGGAAAGGGAAATAAAAAGCCACAACCATAAGGTGGTGAGGATCAGCCAATTATACATTCAGGAGTCTTCGCTAATTAGAAGTTTTTCAGGAGAAGAGTCAAAGGACTTTGCAGATGGAAACAGATTTTAACAAGCAGTGATAAGTCCCACTGTTGGAGAGGCATCTCCAGTTCATACAGGGGATGACTCCAGCTGAGGCTGCACTACCCACCACCAGCCAAGCTCCAGTCAGCAATCAGTGCAATTGATTTTCTGGGGAATATTATTAAAATGAATAATCATGTAGCCAAGATTGGTAAAGGATTTTTCCCTAAATAACAGTCATAACTCTTTGCAGGTACCCCAAAGCACCTGGGTCATCTGGTCACTCAGAAGTGATGCATTACCAGTGGCTCAGGGAGGAGGAATTGATTTTCCCTTTTTCTTAATGATGATTTGCAATTCAGCAGCTTTATGCACTGTGGACAGAGACCATGGCTGTTTAAGAGGATTTGATAATAGCTCACACCTAAGGCAGGTTTTCTTTTCCAGAAAGAGAGGAGTGCAGAGCAGAGAGTAGAACAAGCCACAGTTAATTTTCTTGCTCTTTAGATATGGCTGTGGTCTTCTTTCTTGCTTAAGTCAGGAAGCTCAGAACATGGATGTGGATTTGTTTACGAGCAGCAAAATGGTTCCTTTAAGTGTTACATGTGCCTTCTGAGAAAGTGCACATGAAAGTCGTTTGAGAATGCAAAAAAATCATCTAAGAGACTGAGCAGAGCTCTTTTAGTTTATTCCCAAATGAACACTAACTTTGAGGTAATTCTTGCGGTTTGTTGCACTAACCAAGAAAACCAGGTCATGTAAAATGAAAGAGCCCATATTACCTGTGAAGCAAAAGTGCCTTCTCAGCAGAGACTTGTTCACTCTGTGCTTGTCCTAGACTATTATTTTCACTGTCCTGAGATGTGCTTCATAAGAAATACTACAGGGAGCAGACATCACTCTTGGTGAACTGCTCTGCATGGGACTGTGAGTTGGAAACAAGCACTGCAAACATGGAGCTGTGGCAGAGGTAACATCCTCCCCACCCTAAACGGGTGTGCGGCATGGAGGTAAGTGCTCCTAAAAAGCATCAGAGGGGAAAAGCTGCCCAATGACCACAGGCACAGAAGATGGAACCCCAGAGACCAACCACTGCTGACTGCCTGCCAATGTCCCAGCCCATCTTTGCCAGCAGCTTGTTTGTGCAGTGACAGTCCAACAATAAGTAGACATGATTTTTGACACAACAAACCCCAGAGACCTGAGCAGGAGCTTCCAGACTCCCCTGGAGCACAAGTGCGAGTGCTCCAAGTAATAAATCTTGGAAAGGCCAAGTCTAGGTGTGATGCTCAGGGCATTGCACAAAGGCTGAGCATGTTACAGCAGCTCCTACAGCAGCTGAGGTGAGTGGCTGGGCTTTGTCATGCTATGTCTCTCAGGACCCCATGCAGCACACCCAGCTCCACCAGGCAGCACTACAGGTCTCAAGGGATTCTGAATGACACATGAGGGCTCAGAACATCAGTACCCACAGGCATGGACGGGGGCTGCTCTTGAAGTTTAATCACTTCATGAAAATGTAACTTTCAATATTTCATTAGGATCTCTCCCATCTGTTAAACATCATCCCAGAGTGTTTGGTGACACTTTAAATGAAGCTGTGAAGAGATAAGTTTGTTTTAGATGTAATTGGACAGCTGTTTTATTATGAGTTAATGAACTGTGATGATTGAAAAGAATCCAGTTTTAGCAAACCACGTATTAACAATTACTCTGGACTAAAATCACAGCTAAGCAAGTGCTAGACAACTTTCATGACAATGACTGGAAGAAGAAGATGAGAAAGGAAAACCAGTGAGGTGCTACAGGACAAGAGGTGCCTCCAGACCAGGCTCCCTGCACTGAATACTGGTTCCTTGGGCTGCTTCACAGCAACCAAATCACACCATGTGCCCACACTACTGCTCCACACCACCACCATTTCCTCTGGCCCAAAGACCTTTTTGGCCCAAATCAGTCATCTGTATCTGCTCACACTATTTGATCTTCCTGGCCCCACTTCATTCTCATGTCCTCCCTTTCACCCAGCCACAGCATCCCCAAGGGGCTGAGGAGGGATAGGGGACAGCAATGGCAAGAGGCCTGGAAGTAAACTAACCTCTTTGTGGTTGCAAAACATGTTTCAGAAGCTTTTCCCCCCTGCCCTGGGTCACTTTGATGAAGGCTGCTTGCCCTGGAGGCATTGCACAGAACAGGATATTCTCTGATGTAGTGCTGCATCCCTCCTGAGCTAGGGAGTCCTGCATTCATCTTTCCCACACTTTCCAGTTTAGAAGAGATTTTTGTATTTCAGCTGGTCCTGGTGCCAAAGAACAGAAGCCATAGAAAGCAGCTGTTCAGTTTCCACAGGGGTTTCCCAGTTCTCATGGAGTAGTTTCTAAGCAGTGAAGTCTTTGCCTTGAGAGAGTTTCAGTGAAAAAGCTCTAAAGAGTTAAATGAAGACAGGTACCTATGCCACATGTGCAAATCACTTATCTCCTCCAGTTAAAAAAATCTGCTCCAAATCATTGTGGCTTCCCAACAGCTTCCAGCTGATCTTTCTCTGCTTCAGCCCTCCATTTAGCCTTCTTTTCTGTGTTCATCCTCAGCAGTGTCTGATCCTTTTTTGCAGCCTTGAAAAGCAATGGTGAAAATCATTGCATGCACACATTTGCCACCACTAAATTTCCCATTTGTACCCCTTCCTTTGACACCCCACTGTCCTTCTTGGTATTTTGCAGTGACAGAAATGAATGTGTTGCCTTGTCATACTGTATTTTCAGCATTTGCAGTTCTGATTAGCGGAAGAATTACACTGTAAATTGGTTACAGTTGCACTAGAACATGCAAGTCAGACTGAAGACCCTTTTTCCCCGGCAGTGGTATGGGAAGAAGCAAGTGTCACAGCTCTTGGCCGTGGTGGCATAAGGACTAGGCAGGCAGGACCACAAAAGCTTAATGGAGAATAGATGCAGTGCAGGACCAGGTGCCACTGACACTGTCTGAGCTATTCCATAACCTCTGGACCAGCCTCTTGCTGAGATACCCTAATATAGAGCATTGCACCACATGAGTTTATGGTAAAATGGATCAGTTAATTGGCAACTTGTGCTTCCCCATGCCAATCTCTGCTCCAGAGAAGGGGTGATACAGATTGTGTGCAAATATTGCTTATGTGACCTATTCTCACACCTATCTGTCACTTGGGCACTTATTTACAAAGAGCATACGTAGACCACACATTAAGTGAATCAGTTCATCCAGAAGTAATACTCACTTCTTTGCCTGTGATGACCATGGCCAAACAGCCCAGCACAGTGAGTGCAATCATGATGTAGCAAACCTTTATCCTGACGATGTTCCTTGCTGTGTCCAGGACCTCAAGCCTGTGGAGGACAGAGCAGAGTTTCCATCCTGAGGCAGCATGTGTGAAACAAGACCATGGGGAGCTGGGCAATGAATCCTCAAGTCTTACAGCAACTGCCTGTCAATGTGCACTATGTTTCAACCTTCTCTTTCTGCAACTGCTTAGAGGAGGACTGAAAAAACTGGCCTATGGGGAAAAGATTTAGCCATCCACCCACACAGGTAAGGTATTGCTGGTCCCACCAGTCATCAGTGACAACAGGAATAACAAATCCTACTCTCCTGTCTTCTCTTATTGATATGAGAGTGAACACCTGAAAAATGACAGGGATAGGAAAGTCTTTCCATTGTGATAATGGAGTTATGAAGGCCTCACCTTTGGGTGCTGTAGGGCAGGGCATGGGGTGCTGCATGGCACCTGGAGATACTGGAGCTATGCCACCAGGGCCAGGCAATGCCATCCTCAGTGAATTCAAAACACATGAATGGCATTTTTGCTAGGAGCAATGAAGAGTATTCACACAGTGCAGAGGAACTGCAAGTGATGACTGAGTCTGTACACACATCCCCATCCCAGCTGCACACAGAGCATTGCAGCCCTGTCCCTCTGCAGCACAGCCTCTGCCAGGCAGCTGGCACCAGCCCCATAAGCATCTGCCTGCAGTGGGAGGCTGAGCTGGGTTGGAGCAGATGACTGCACCATCCATCAGGAGTTGTCTTCCCAGGCAGCTGAACAGACACAGCCATCGCTGGGAAATCTCCACCACTTTCCATAAGTGACTCATGGCATATATCCAACAATTCATGCTTGCAAGAGTCTGCAGAGTGGCAATGAGTCATTCATGAAATCATATCCAGCCATGGATTTACTTACACCTGCAAGGGGAAGGATGGATGGAGGAGCCCACAGGATGTCACAAGTCAGAAGCAGTAGGTCTCCACAAAATACCTCAATAAAGATGTGAAATCACAGCCCAGACATGAGGAACTCATTGCAGATGTCTGTCACCAAAGCTGTGTATAACCCTAACTTCTTATTAAAATTTATGCAGCATTATTAATTGGCAATTCATAAAACCTAGCAAAACATGCAAAAATCTGGAGTGGATTATATTTTTCCATAGTGACTTCTGAGTTACAAAGCCACTTGTTTTGCAAAAGACACTTCAGCTTAGTCTGAAATTTATGCTATCTAAAACAAGTGAATCCAGTTTACTACACAGAGAATGACAAAAATTCATGTTCCAAATGATTATTTTTGGATGCCAGGTCCCATCAGCATGGGGGAGCACCAACCCCCACCACATGAGCACAATTCTGGGTAATGCAGACTGGGGTCTGAATCTGTGTGTTCAAAACCAAAAACATCATTCTGATGGGCTCACTTACGATATATGCTTGGGTATGTCCTCCTCCTTTTTAAAGCGTCCTGCCCATATTAACACCTTTTTATCAAAATTTGTTGGCCTTCTGTCATTTCTGAAAGCTTCTTTACCTGTAAGACATTTTATAATAGAAAACAATGAGCCGAGCTTCAAGAAGGCAAGAGGAAAAGAGCTATTGTTACAGAGGGAAAATGATCAAAAGTTCAAAATGACACTTTTCTGTTCTGTGAGAGCCAAATGTGCTTTCTAATGTCAAAAAGACTCAGCAGGTGGTGTGAGATGCTTTGTTATATTTGCAGCCTATTTCATTTGGGGATTTTGCCCCTTAGTTTTGGTAGGTTTTAAACTATGAATATCTTGTAAATTTTCTGATTAAGTAGGTAAAGGATGCAGGGCTGAAGTCCCCGAAGCCAGCAGTGTCCTCTCACCCTGCTAGCATCTTGCTTTCAAATGGCCCAACTAGTGAGCTAAGCAAACTGCCAGCAGCACAAGGAGCTCCTCAACAGCTCCTCCTCCTAAAATCACTGATGGAGACATGAGGTCTGCTAAAAAACAACCTGGTGAGAGGCTGGCAGTTGTTCTCATGCAAGCTGGGTACCACATTACTGTACTCTAATGATGATACATTACAGCCCATCAGGCTACAACAGTGATGCCATTAGCATGCTGTCACCCACAGCACATTGAGAAAAGGACTCTGGCTCCTCTTGATGGAAACAAGCCCAGTGACAGGTCACAACAAAGACAGGGGCAGGGAGACCCTGCAAAAATAGGGTAGGCAATGGCTAGATCAAATCCTGGCTTTGGCATTGCACACCTGTACAGGTGGTCTTTGCAAGGTAGCTAAGACTGCTCACCCAAGTACCTATACCCAGGCAGGTGCACCCAACATGCTAGGCTATGATGGCCTATGCTTGCAAACATGGGACTTGTGTTGAGAAATGCCCAGTGGGTGGCCAGGATATGAAGGAAGGGATGGACATGATGATGTCTCCAGTCTCAGTGTCCTGCACTCCCTGCCTGTTGCTGGATCGCTGGTACTTGGCTGAAAGGAAGTCACGGCTGCTACAGAACAGTGTATGGGGAGTGTGTCTTCCTGCCTGGGTTGAGGTGGTGAAATTACATTAAGTGCCTTGGCCCCAAACCAGCTTATGCATGCCAAGACTTGTGAGCAGCTTGAAAATCTCAGGTGGAAATCTTGGCATCCAAACCCCCAGGTAAATTAAATCTTCTGCTACTCTTATTTCTCTTAGAGAGTGCTAGTGAGACCAGGAAAGCTGCATCAGCAAGTGCTGGATTCAGATCTGCAGCAAGCAGTAGGCTGGATTGCTAAAAGGACAGGCTCCATCCCAGGGAATACAAGGCAAATTCCCTTGCTGGAGACCCTCAGCCATTGCACAGGAGCACAGACAGCCCCATGCAGCCCAGCCTTGCTTGGGCAAGGGCTCTGCAAACACAAGGGCAAGGAAGCAGTGGTACAAGCTACAAAAACTCTCTCTGTGCCAGGAAGTTTGTCCATCTGGGAGCAGCCCATACCTGCTCCTTGCCACGTAATCCAGGGCACTGCCTGGCACAAGCACACACAGTTGTGGCTGTAACCTGGCAAGGAGCATCAAGGGGTGCATCAGGGTGCAAGTTTGTCACTTGCACCAGCCCTGCACATGCAGGGACATGCACTGGTCCTCCTTTGGAAACCTGGCAGCTGGGTAGGAGGAGGGACATTTATTTATCTGTTTTAATTAGCATGTTCCCTGACATGAAGTATCAGTTTGCATTTGCTGCCACAGGAGCAGGACTATTTAACAGAAAAACATTTTCCCTGCGCACTGTGCTGGTCAGAGCTCTGAGTGTGCTCCCTGTCTCAGGAGTGCTTGTAACCCCAGGAGGTGCAGCACTGCAGTAACTTAGCCACAGAAGAAAATGAAGGCCATTTCTCACCCTTTCCCTCAAATACCTTTCCCCTCTATGCTGCAGCATGAAACAGCAACCAAAGCCTTTCCACCCACCTGGATTCGCCATCTGCAAAGCCATGTCCTGAGTGTTCTTCACTCTTTTGCCAACAGCTCTGACAGGTTGCAGGACTGGCCAAGCCACCTGCCACCACAGCCCAGGGCTGCGCCCCAGCAACCTCCTCAGCATCCTGCTCTGGCCAGCACTGCACCACCACTGCCCCACCAGCCTGGGAGCAGCTCAGGAGGTTCCCTCTAGCAGTTATTAGCTCCTTGGTATAACTAGTAAAACTACCTGTTCCTGTATGAAGGGAGTAGCACTCACTTTTGCCCTGATTGACAACAGCTTTTGCTTACATCACCATTACAAGTAAAATTTATCACCTCTGTTTACCAAAATGACACACCTGCAGAGCTAGGCAGGCAGAAATCACCACTGTGGCCACTCACACCCAGCCTGGACTCTGCTCTAGCTTCTCCATCCCATGGACCTGCTTGGGAAAGCAATGGCTATTGACATTATTTTCTCAGTCCTTATTATGGAAGGACTAAATTTGGGCAACATGCTGTATTTCCCCAAAGATAGGCTTAGTAACTGCTAATTATCACAGCTGGTTAAGCTGTTAGCATTCTTAATTGTTCTTAGCTAAAAAATAATCTTGCAGATCAGTTGCTTTAAACAGACTTTCCAAAGAGGAGCAGTGTTTACCCCATCTCACAATAAATGTGGTTTGGTGGCAGAAAACTAAAGCTGTTGTGTCTATAAGTGCATTATGAGGAGTCCATCTTGTACCCAGACTGCAAACTTTCCTGGCAAAGAAATATATTTCAGGTTTAAAACAGTAAACTAAGAAATTATAACAATAAACTCAGGTGGTGTAGTATTTGTCAGTCAATAAAATTGTCATTGAAATGTAGCAGCACCTATAAAGTATTTGCCCTCCACAAAGTCTGGATAGTGCTGGATGTTTTCCATAACATCAGATGTTCTAGCCAGAGAATGAAGCAAAACCAATGCTATTTTATCACTTTGACATTTCTCCTGCATTTTGCACAAAATTCTCCCTGATGGGTCAGGAAATGGAAATGCAAAATCCTTGTCTCATTTGGAGCAGTGGGGTATTAACTCTCCTTAGACATACAAGGCTCTAAAGCTGATTTACAGGTAGGGAAAAAAAAATCTATTTGAAAGGGAAGAAGAAGTTGCCGAAAGGAGAATTTTCAGAACTATTTAGTAATACTATCAAATGCACTATTGCAGATAATCAAAGCGTGTCTGAGAGCAAGGGGAGGAACTGCCAGGGAAGAGAGCTTGAGGTGGTGGCAAGGATATTCTTTAAGGGCTGAGAGGATGAAAGATGTGAAACAGATGCAGCTCCAGCTCTCCAGCTCCTGGCCCCAAGGAAAAATTCTACCATTTATAGAGACATTTTATATTTTTTGAGAATGCAAAGTTATTGATACCAAGGAAAGAAGAAACTAGCAGTGATGATAAACATGTTTTTTCCTCTTTCCTGAAAGCTCCACATTGTATCCGGATATAACACAATGTGTTTAGCTTAATTTGCTTGTAATTTGGTAAAGCAAATTAGATCCATTTCCAGATTAGGAATCCATACAGAAGATAAGTAGTGGTTTGAGTTTCCAGCTGCAAACAAGACCAGCAAACAAGCAGAAATCAGTGGATGTGATTATGCTGGAAGAAGCAGGAGGGAAAACTGGTAATATCATGGAGGATATTTGTGTCCTGCTCAGGATTTCCCTTGGGAAAAATGGGTGTGAGGAGGAGGAAAGCTGCATTTATAGCCTGAAGTTTACAAGGCTCAGTAACCCCTGAGCATCCCTGCAGGCCCCCTTCTCACCTTGTGGAAGAACTGCTGAGTGAAAAAGGAGCATTGTACACCTGGACATCCCTTGGTCCCCAAGCTGGAGGGGCAGGAAGGATGGGGGCAGTGGGTGGGACATGATGGCATGACACTCACGTCACACTTGGAACTGCACAACCCCTCAGGGTCTCCAGTTGTGCAGAGCATTAGAGCAATTTCATTTTAACAGGCACTCTCCAAAATGCTTACTGCAGTAGCAACTGTCTTTATGTCGTGTCTGATTATGGATTTGAAGAGGGGAAAAAAAAGAACATTTCTCTTTAATGTCTTAGTTTCTCATACGCGGAGAAAATCGTGGGGTTTTCAGGCCTCCAGTGCTTATCCACCTAGGGGTTGCCAATTGTTTCCTCTAGCAGACACACCAGCTAACAGCTGTATTAATCATGTCTACTGTGAGCAAAAAAGCACTTCAGGATTTATTACGCCAGCATTTGGAAGCACAAAGACACAGAGGTTCTCATGAAACCACAGACGCTTGCTCCTGAATTTTACGTGTTTGTCTGGCACTGTGAATGCTTAATACCAGGGTGAGTTTTACTGCAGTGCATGAAAACACCTCTGTGTTAGGAGATCAAGCTTTCCCTCATACACTGTGGATCTCTCTCTGGCCCAGTGCAACTCGAATCCCTTCCTGAACAACAGAGATGCAGAATGTTCTTGGACCAAGGTCGCCTTGTGTGCAGTCTGATGACCCTAGTTCTCTTTAGAGATGTTTTGTGCCTAACCCAGTGGTTGCACATCCCTCCCACTGCCCAGGTTACAAAGCAGCCCCAGGAGGCTCATCCAGTCACATCCCTCACAGGGAAGTTTATTGTATAGCAGTAACAACTTGTTCAGAGATGCAGAATTAGCAAAACTGGGCTTAAAACACCATCTCCTCCACCTTCCACATCCTTCTGCCAGGAGGAGAGCAGGACCCCAGCTCCTCAGCAAGCCCTGGATGGCACAGATAACAACCTGCATGCTGACTAGCTGTACAGACGCCCCCCAGGCTTCCTCTGACCCTCGCTGCAAGGGGAGAGCACAGATCTAAAGGGTTTTGAGTTACAAAGGAGCAGACTGCTCAGACAGAGCAGAGGATGGTCTGCAGCTGTGATGGAGATGCAGACTTGTGACATTTCTGTTCTCTGTGTGAGAGTCAGATGCAGCTGCAACACTTGTTGCACACTGGTGCCAGCACTGAAGATTTAAAACCAAACAGAAAACCTCACAGGATTTCATCCCAGTTCTGCAGCCTCTTCATACCCCTTCTACCACCTCAAGCTCTGCTCTTGCAGCTGACTCCACAGCAGGGACTTGCAGCCAGTCCCTA